GATCGGCTTGTTTCTCTACAGTCAGTATAGCTTGTCGAGGAGCACTAGATTCATGGGACTCACCGGCTGTGCGCTGAGGGCGTCCACGACGGAGCTCTGTTGTGCCTTCCGTCTGATTTGTCGGTCCCGAATTTAACTTTGTTTCAAGAACTGCAATCCTTTGTAAAAGTCTGTGGCAGTTAGAGCAGCAAGTAGATTCCCGAAGAGGCATTTTCTTATCCTTATGAATGTAGGGAGTTGTGTTTTCTCTTCCCCGGAATGTAAGCAGTGAGAGGCTGGTTGAATAAAAGTGTGAAGTACTTTTTAAGTAATCCCAGCGTCTGAGCACTGTGCTGATTTGCTGAAGTTAAAATTAGGTGAAAAGGAGATAAAATATATAAAAAATATTAAAGCGATAGAGCAAAGCGCGGAGCAGTAAGCAGGAGCGTCCGAACAGTAGCTGAGCAGGAAGTCAAGTGTTACAGATTTTTTTGTCATTTTTTGACAGCCAAATCACTTAAATACATTATTTTATAGCTCTTTAGAACAAAAAGCAAAAGTTAAATGATCAAAAATAAAATGTGGACATATACGGATGTGATGTGATTCATGCCTTTGATGTGAGTGGGTTCAAAACCCACCCGCATATGTACGTTTTAATAAAAAGAGCAAACTAGCTACTGTGTATCAGAGGATGTATATCAGAAATGGGGGCGTTAGGTTGCACTTTATTTTGCTGGAACAGAAAGCAGGTGGCAGAGCGAGGGGGTGTGCATGTCTGAAGCCTTGTTTATACGTTCAGTCAACTTGCAATGGTCAAGAACCTTTCTGCAGCGTTGCTTTACAAACCATGTAGAAATGATAGCTGGAATGATATTAACAATACTTCATTTTAAGTGAATAGAATTAGTCAGGTCTTTCCATTCTTTACCAAAAATGACACACAAAAAAGCTAGACTGTTTCTAAAATCACATATTATATTATATTATATTATATTATATTATATTATATTATATTATTCTGTTAACGGTCACCCCCCTTTTTTTAATTGACATGGGAATGCACATTTCAAACTTAAATGGTCGTAATTCAAGAATGCTTTGGAATATAGACATAAGATCGATCTTGTTTTAAAGAAGACATTTGACATTTTTGTAGAAGTGAAATAAATTAGGAAAGTGAAACAGAAAAAAAAGTTATAGAAGTTTGAGTTTATGGAAATGTACAATGTAAAAACAACAATTATTCATATTTTAAATACAATATATATTTTCAAAAGCTGGGCTGCTCTAAAACTGCAGAAAAATCTAAGCCAAAATCTGAACAAGTTGTGTTTAAAATTTTAGGTTTGTATCTCAAAAAATGAGCTTTCAGTGAGATTTTGTTTGGGCGCAGTACCAAACTTTTTCACTAGGGCACAACCAGACTCCATTACTGCCCATATAAGGACGCCTCTATTTCCATATGCGTTTTAAGTGATATGAACAATTATTTCCACAATTTTCATACAATTTATGAAGTAGAGATCCTATTCAGAAGTATGGGAAGTTTGGCAATTTTTGACATGTGAACACGCATGTGAACACGTATAGCTTCCTGCCACATCACAAATGGACTGCAAATTGTGAATTTATAATTTTTTCTTGATATTTAAAACATTTTTCAGAACTTTTTTTCCTAAAATAATTGAATGGATGCAATCTTTTGAACTATTGGCATGAAAACAAACTGAGGTGTCTACCTTTTTTTCATGATTTTTCATGTTCATCAATATTTCAAAATAAAGGTATGAACACGCCTTAGGAGTATGAAAATACTTTTGTTGCAAATTGATAAATAACGGCTCCTCTGTAATTTATTTAGAAAATAAGTCACCAAATATGGAAACTAGAGATTGTAAGCTTTTAAATGTTATATAGTTTGTCAATATTACTTAAGGTCTTTAAGATATTATTGTTTTAAAAATATATGGCAAGCGTCCCACCTGTGGGACGGTGACAGATTATATATATATATATATATATATATATATATATATATATATGAAGAGTTCAGATGCAAAAGCCTCTAAATGCCATTTGAAATTTTCTTCTTTAATGATGATTTTTATCAAACTTGTATATTTAAGTAATTTCACTTAAATAACAATTAATAGGTAATTATCATTGCCATTTAAGTGAAATTACTGAACTTAAATATACAAGTTTGATAAAAATCATCATTAAAGAAGAAAATTTCAAATGGCATTTAGAGGCTTTTGCATCTGAACTCTTCATATATATATATATATATATATATATATATATATATACACACAGTATATACAGTATATATTATATTCATATTTTTTAAATAATAGACTAATTTAATTTATTAAATATTAATAGATGATTTCTTACAGGGGCACTGAAAAAATATTTTTTAAAATATATATATTTTTAGTAATGCATTTTAAAGTATTTGTGTCCATTTGGTTTATTATAGGTTAAATTTGGTTATGGGTTGCACTAACAACCTCTTTGCTAAAACCCATATAACATAACATAAAACAAATTATAAGTTGCTGAAATAAGATACGGCTGAAATGGCTGAGAACACTGTTAACAATAAAACTCAACAGGCATTTTTGCAGATTTTTTGAACCGTGGAGGAGGTTTTTAAGTTCTGAACATTACAATCGAACATGTTAGTACATCTAACTCTTTTGATTCAAAAGATCACAGACAATTCCATTTGTCACGATACACAGAGTGACCCACTCAAAATAATGGCCTGATTTAGAGTAAAATGAAGAACAGGTACATTACTGCTGGAATCGTCAGCACATTTGCATCTGTAAAATTCAACTTGTTCTTAATGTGAATGATTCAGAGATGAGAGGAGGGATCTCACATCATGCTTGGACACACAGAAAGCCATGTGCTTTGTGTGTGTGACTAAATGTTAAGTGGAGATTTTGTGCCTTTGAGGTCAGCTTGTAATATGGTGTTATGTTAAAGCTCATTTCAAAAGAAGGTTAAGGCTGCGTTGGCTTCCGCTGTATTTTCAGAGAAAAATCTTCTTGAGCTCACACAATCATGTTTATCAGAGGCAGCCGATCATTTCTTCACATTTCGCGGATGTGCCTGGCCTCTTTCATCTGCGCCTTTTGGACAAGCGTGTTTTGGCTGGACTGTTGAAAGGTGTTTAAAAGTGGAAATGGCATTTGAGGCTGATGTCTGACCTTTCTACACAATCTCCAGTCTGCAGTCACACACACAGTGATAGATGGCCACAAAGACACGCTGTCACAACAGTAACACACACACACAAACACAGGTGAAAAAACGATGAGAACATCGGGTATTATTTCGGTACATTGTTTTTGGGTGGACCGCTCTTATAAATCAGTATAATTACTGACTGCCTGTTACTCACAAGTAACCAGAATCTGAACATGAATCATTAAATCCCTTACAAATCCCATCTCTAGCGCTCATGTGAGCTGTGCACTTTCAGTTTTGTTTGATTGTCTGATGACACTTTACAATAAGGTCCCATCAGTTAATACATTAACATTTAAGGAGTAGTTCACTTTAAAAAAAACAAAAACATTTGCTGATAATTTACTCAGCCCCATGTCATCCAAGATGTCCATGTCTTTCTTTCTTCAGTCGAAAAGAAATGAAGGTTTTTGATGAAAACATTCCAGGATTTTTCTCCATATAATGGATTTCAATGGGAACCAAACGGTTCAAGGTCCAAAAGACAGTTTCAGTGCAAACTGCAAAGTGTTCAAAGGGCTTTAAACGATACCAGACGATGAATAAGGGTCTTATCAAGCGAAACGATCGCTCATTTAAAAAAAAATTAAAATAACAAAGTTTACGTTTAATAAGCTCAAATGGTCGTCTTCTGTGATGTGCGTTCGTGACTCTCCTGTTCGAACTCGTTCATCAAAATGAACAAATCTTTTCCTGAGTCAACTCGTTCGTTTCGTTCGTTGAATGAACCAAATGACACGAAAAAAGATTCGTTCATTTTGATAAATCAGTTCGAACAGGAGAGTCACAAACCCGCATCACAGAACAGAGCAAGGCGAGCATTTGTGCTTATAAAACTTAAACTTTATTTATTTATTAAATGAGTGATCGTTTCGACCCTTATTCATCGTCTGGAATCGTTTAAAGCCCTTTGAAGCTGCACTGAAACTTTCTTTTAGACCTTGAACCGTTTGGTTCCCATTGAAGTCCATTATATGCAGAAAAATCCTGAAATGTTTTCATCAAAAACCTTAATTTCTTTTCAACTGAAGAAAGAATGACATGGACATCTCGGATGACATTGGGTTGAGTAAATTATCAGCAAAAGATTTTTTTTAAAAGTGAACTACTTTAAGCGTAGTATATGTTTTCTGAGCAGTAGGATAATATCTCCGTCTTTTTTTTTAGTTATGAGAAAGAACAATATTCATTCGCCACGCAGAGCCAAAGCACAACTATGCTCTTCGCAGTTTTGTTTTTTAACCGAGTACCAAAAGTTACATAGTGTACATGCAACTAAGATTAATAAAGTGTTTGTATTACTAATCTAAAGTGTTTTTCATTGTTAGTTCATGTTAACAGTAATGTAGTGAACTAATGTTGACAACCTTATTGTAAACTAAATTGATGTGGACTGTCTTTACCAGATGCAGCCGAAAGAAAAACTGCAAGTACTCAGAGCACAAAATGAGTAAGACAAAAAATATCAGTAAAAGAGAAACCGAAAGGAGGAAAATAGCAGCGCAACAAATGAAGGAGTGCAAGAGCGAGACAACGGTATATACAGCGTTTGAGAGATTGGTGGCGTGTTCTGCCTGATAGGGGGTCAATGCTTCTCCCCGGAGCCCCATTACCGGGTGGCATTAACGGATGTGGCGGGCCAACGGGGGCACGGCGAGGGCCCAGTGTGTGCGAATGTGTGCGTCAGAGAGTGAAGGAGAACAATTTGATAGTATCTCCTCTTGACTGCAGCCACCAACACACCACCATCAATCACTGCCAAACACAGCAGCCTAGCACACACACACACACACACACACTAATAGCCATTCATGTCCATGAACACTTAAGGTGTGTTTACCTGCGCAGGGCAGGGAGTATCCCACCAGCGGCTCCTGGATAAACTGCCGCTCATTGAGTCGGGTCACACAGTACAGGTGGAAGCAGTCCAGGCAGATCACGTGACGCTCAGCACACTGAAACACCAGCACTGGAGTCCTGGAGGACACACAGAGGCATGAATCCCACTGACAGGGGGCATTGACACTACTTTGCATCATACACCGAATGTTATGCAGAGATGGCCAGTGAGGTCCAAATGAGAGTTTCAGTTCAGCTTCAAAAGGCTTTAAACGACACCAGACGATGAATAAGGGTCTTATCTAGAGAAACAATCAGTCAAAAATAAAAATGTATACAAAAAAAAAAATGTATCACCTTGCTCTGTTCTGTGATGAGCATTCGTGACTCTCCTGTTCGAACTCGTTCATCAAAATGAACAAATCTGTTTTTGAGACATTTGGTTGATTCAACGAAAAAAATGAACGGAATGACTCGAAAAAAGATTCGTTCATTTTGATGAACGAGTTGGAACAGGAGAGTCACGAACGCCCATAACAGAACAGAGCAAGGCGAGCATTTGAGATTATAAAACTTAAACTTAGTTATTTATTTATTAAGTGAGCAATCGTTTCGCTATACAGTATAAGACCATTATTCATCGTCTGTGTAACGCAGGGGCGTAGCCAGAATTTTATTTTTGGGAGGTCCCGTCTTTAAATGAGGGGGCAACATTATTTATATATACTGTATATCAAGTTGATCTTTCCGTGCTTTTTTAAAAAAGTGTAATATTGTACTTTGAGTTTGAGCGCCTGCCATTGTCACGGCATATTAACTCTCACGCAAAGATGAAGATGACAGCGTAAGTTACGCGCAACACGTTATATAAACAAATCAAGTTTGAAAATAAGCTGCATTTTACCGCGTAGCATTTTGATTGGTCAATCTATCAATCCTAATAAAACAACTTTTTTTTTTTTTTAAGCAATCAGAAATCTGAGGGGACCGGACATGTAAATGAGGGGGCCTAGGCCCACCCAGGCCCCCTCGTGGCTACGCCACTGGTGTAACGGTCATCAGGTGGAGTGCCCTTGAGAATCACCAGAGGGCACTCCACACCAGATGTTCATGTTTATCTCACAACTACATTTCCCAGAACTCACTGCCCGGATTCATCATCACTGATCACGTTCACCTGTACCTCATTCACTGATTGCATTCACCTGTGTCTCATCCTGTTAGTGTGTATATATACTGTATATATATATATACCTTGTGTTCACGTTCACTGTTTGCGAACTCTTGTTGTACTGTGTGTGTCTGCATTTCTGAGCGGTTTCTGTGTTTGTTTTCTGGTTTTTGACTTTGGATTGCCCTGCCCTGACCTCTGCCTGTTTCTTGGATTCCCACTGTGTATTCTCCATTGTCCTGTCTGCTGATTCTCGACCCTGCCTGTACGACTATTCTTAAATTAAAGCTGCATTTGGATCTTCATCTCTACGTCTCGGAGCAGTTCATAACAGTCTGGAGTCGTTAAAAGCCCTTTGAAGCTGCACTGAAACTCTCATTTGGACCTTGAACTGTTTGGTTCCCAATGGAGTCCATTATATGGAGAAAATCCTGGAATGTTTTCATCAAAAACCTTCATTTCTTTTCAACTGAAGAAAGAAAGACATGGACATCTTGGATGACATGGGGGTGAGTAAATTATCAGCAAAAGTTTTTTTTTTTTAAAGTGAACTACTACTTTAACACAAGAATAATTTATAATGGAAATTGTATGGATGCAATATTTTAAGATGAACATTTACTGGATTGAAGCAACTAAAGTTCACTTGATTATCCACACATCCTCCATAAGTTGTATGGCCAAAAAAGAAAGAACAGAGCCTCTGCTTTAAAGCTACACTGTGTAACTCTTTTAGTTTATTCTTAGCTAAAAACACTTAGTTCTTTCAAAAATATATGTGCGCATTAATGTATATTTACTTCGTTCAAGTAATAAAGTATTCTCGTGAGTGTATAATATGCCATTGAAAATACATACGGGTAAGGGGTTCTAATGTCGGTCGCCATGTTGCCCCTCCATCTTGAAAGTGCATTAGCCTAAGAGGGACATACCCGTTAATTCAAGCTTCGCCTTTCGCGTTTACGTTTGAGTTAACACTCATGGACGAGGTCGAACTGGAAGCCATGTTAATCTTGGACTACATTGGCCACCGTAGGAGTTAAAACGAAATCGGAATTGAGAAGAACAGAAACTAATATTCACTGGATGGTCATATATATTTACACCGCTAGATGGGGTAAAAAACACACAGTGTAGCTTTAAAGGGTTAGTTCACCCAAAAATGAAAATTAAGTCATTAATTACTCACCCCCATGCTGTACCAACCCCGTAAGACCATCGTTCGTCTTCGGAACACAAATGAAGATATTTTTGATTAAATTTGAGAGCTGTATAACTACCACATTGGCTCCTAAGGGACTGCCTCTTGACGGCCCAGAAAGTCAATGAAGAAAATGTTTAAATATCCCAAGTGACTACCGTGGCTCAACTATATGTTTATCAAGCGACGCGAATACTTTTTGTGCAGAAAAACAAACAAAAATAACGAGTTTATTCGACTATTTCTTTTCTTCCTTGTAGGCCAGAAACGAGATTTCCTTAGATTTCCACGACGCATGCGTGAGAATTGCGATCTCCTTACACTACTTCAGTTGAGTTCTCGCGCATGCGTCGTGGAAATCTAAGGAAATCTCGTTTCTGGCCTACAAGGAAGAAAAGAAATAGTCGAATAAACTCGTTATTTTTGTTTGTTTTTTCGCACAAAAAGTATTCGCGTCGCTTGATAAACATATAGTTGAGCCACGGTAGTCACTTGGGATATTTAAACATTTTCTTCATTGACTTTCTGGGCCGTCAAGAGGCAGTCCTTTAGGAGCCAATGTGGTAGTTATACAGCTCTCAAATTTAATCAAAAATATCTTCATTTGTGTTCCGAAGACGAACGATGGTCTTACGGGGTTGGTACAGCATGGGGGTGAGTAATTAATGACTTAATTTTCATTTTTGGGTGAACAAACCCTTTAAATAACAACACAAAAATTTTTTATGAAAACATTTTATTCTAGCTTCATTCAATACTTGAATGTAGATGTTTCATAAAAAAAAAAAAAAAAAATGTGTTTTTGTCAAAACGATCGGATTCAGAACGATTATCAAAACATACATTGAGTAGATCACGTCCATCGACACCCTCAAAGCTTCTTTATGGTTCCGACATCTCGTGTCTGTAACGTTAGGCAGTTTTGATTTATATGCTGTTGGATGTCTGATGATCACGTTAGCTTACTAGTGCGTAAGCAATCTTCTATCCGTTCCTGGTTTACGCAGATCTTTTCTCGTGCTGTACTATTTCAGAAGATGCGTAACAGCGCCCCCTACAGTAAAGCAGTGAAAACATGGATTTCCAGAAGAACTTGTCAAAGGCAGGGAAGCTATTGAGATTTTGGTGCGAGATATGATCTGTGCAGTTTTCGTGAGATTCCCTGGAGAAGAACACTGATGAGGAGAACGGGGGCGGGAAGAACTTGTGTAGACGCTAGTTCAAAACCTTCGGAAAACCTCAAATACCCTTGTTACTTTAGTGTAGTAAGCAAAGAAACAACTCTCGGAAATCTCTTGACAATTTTCTTTCCATTTCTCCAGTCCTCCCCCTTCACACACGAACCCACACTCACTTGACTGGAAGTCAACTTGCTAACACAGTGTTCCACCTCTCTGACCCGGTTCTCTCGCTTCTATTGTAAGAGCCTGGCTGCGTCCTTGTCGTTGACCTTTTAAACAAATGGAGGAGATCTGTGAGGAGGAAGAAGAGTGGAATGGAGGACGGGGGGGAAACAAAGCTCTACTCAGGAAGGTAATTGCGGCACTACTTCAATCAGTCCTTGATTTGAATGGTGGTTGCTGGTGATTGGGCTTCATTGTCTGGTTTTTCCAGGCGCTCGACCGGAGAGCAGCAGGTAGGAGCGTTTACGTGGGACCGCCCCGCTAATAGCTGACCTTCATTGGCAGGGCACACTTAGCGCTCTCTTTCTGGAAAAATGGCCCCTGTTGATTGAAGGGCCACACAGCAGGAGGTGTACGCAGGTTATAGAGTACAGAGAGCTTGTCTTTCCGAATGTTTGTGTCAATCTTTAATTTACCTGTCCAATGTGTTGCAGGCATTTCATGTTTTCTGACTGCTGGATCAACCCGAAAGCCTCCAAAAAGCTGTTTAAATGTTTTTAAAAAGTTTTGTTTAAAAAGTTTTTTCCTTTCTGGTTGTTGTCTGTTGTTTTGTAATTTGATCAGTCTAATTGGTCTATGAGTGAGTCTAAGGCCGTGTGTCCACCAAAGCGTTTTTCCACGCGCCTGGCGTTTGTTTTCAATGGGAACGCCACGTTTTTTAAACGCCATGAGCGTACCGAGACGCTCGTTGTTGTTTTTTTTCACGCTGAAGCGCCGAGCGCCCAGTGTTTTTACTGGTCGACGAGAGTTGAAAAATGTTCAACTTTGGATAAAACACTGTGCTCATTACTGTCACTTTTTACCCAGCCGTCCAATCACAGTGGAGGATGGGCGGGACTAATACCACACAGACCAACTGTCACAACATTCAACTGCTGCGGATATTCTGTATCATAGCAACGAAACGTCTCAACGGAAAAAACGCTGCGCTACCAAAACGTTCTCAAGCGGCCAAAGCACGGCGTCTTCAGCAGAGCCTCTAGCGTTTTCAGCTGGCTAAAAACGCTTTGGTGGACACACGGCCTTACTAAGACTTTTTGAAAGAAGGTGCACTCGTATTATTATGATTGGGAGAAAGCGACGCCCAATATGGCGGAATCAGTCGCGTTTTAAAGATGGCTGCCGAGTGAAATGGTCTTACACAATGTGCAAACCTGGTTTAACAACAGAATTAATGGCTTGGCCTACTAATACTTTTAAAGCTATTTTGTTTTAATGTATTCAACTGGAACTATAATTACAAATATATTTAAATACTTGATAGACCAGTTTCAATAGAAATGACATCAGTATATTTTAGTTGACCATACACTTAAACCAAACAGTACATTGAAATCTTATTTCAAAAACAATAAGAAGTCCTGCCTTTACAGACAGAGCTTAGATTAAGCCAGGACTAGGCCTTAGTTCAAATAGGACATTTAAGTAGCTTTTATAAACTTGCCTTATGGTGCATTCACACCGGACGTGAAAAGCACGTCAGGCGTGAGTCAATTTAAGTCATTTGGATTGAAGGAGTAGTTCACTTTTAAAAAAAACTTTTCCTGATAATTTACTCACCCCCATGTCATCCAAGATGTCCATGTCTTTCTTTCTTCAGTTGAAAATAAATTAAGGTTTTTGATGAAAACATTCCAGGATTTTCTCCATATAATGGACTTCAATGGGAACCAAACGGTTCAGGGTCCAAAAGAGAGTTTCAGTGCAAACTACAAACTGTTGAAAGGGCTCTAAACGATTCCAGACGATGAATAAGGGTCTTATCAAGCAAAACGATCCCTCATTTAATAAATAAATAACCAAGTTTAAGTTTTATAAGCTCAAATGCTCGCCTTGCTCTGTTCTGTGATGCACGTTCACGACTCTCCTGTTCGAATGTGTTCATCAAAATGAACGAATCTTTTTCTGAGTCATTTGGTTCATCAAAATGAACGAATCTTTTTCCGAGTCAATTTGTTTGTTTTGTTCGTTGAATGAACAAGTTCGAACAGGAGAGTGACGAACGTGCATCACAGAACAGAGCAAGGCGAGCATTTGAGCTTATAAAATAAACTTTGTTATTTATTTATTAAATGAGGGATCGTTTCGCTTGATAAGACCCTTATTCATCGTCTGGAATCGTTTAAAGCCCTTTGAACAGTTTGCAGTTTGCACTGAAACTGTCTTTTTGAACCTTGAACCGTTTGGTTCTCACTGAAGTTCACTACATGGAGAAAAATGCTGGAATGTTTTCATCAAAAACGTTTATTTCTTTTCGACTGAAGTAAGAAACGCATGGATATCTTGGATGACATTGGGGTGAGTAAATTATCAGCAAAAGTTTTTTTAAAAGTGAACTAATCCTTCAATCCAATATGCGACTTGCCATTTATTTGTAATTATTTCAGCAATCTACTGCCAATTTCTGAGTGAAAACCGTGTGTGTGTATTAATTCAGGGATTCAATATATTTATGGTTTCAGGATTTATTTATAGGTTTTAATCAATTTTCTAATAGAAACCAAGCAAAAATAAAATGTTTTGTAATCGTGGCTGGTTAGGACAAAAGCTTTTATCTTTTGTTGGTTTATCACATCACGCCAGTTTGGGACATGCTGAGATTAACGTTACAATGAACTGTCAGATTGGCTCTTTGCTGTGCAGCATAACAGACTCATTTCGACCTCCATGATGGGTTTAAAGACACATGGAAAAACCGAAAGCAACTCACACAATGTCGGTGCAGGCGATGCAGGGCACTCTGCGTGTGTTGGGCATTATCAAGTCCAGCGCTGCTGAAGAGTCATTATCACCGGTGGGGTGGGCAGCACATTTCAGGTAAAACTCCTGCAAGAAGCACAAACCAGATGTAATCATGTCCTGCAAACCCCCTCTAACACACTAAAACAACCCGCCTGGCTGGGGGTAGCATTACCAATTTACCAATTTAGTATAACAAGTGGACGGTCCTCTTTGTCTGTCAGCACTAGACAGACAAAAAGGCACAATAAATAGTATGCCTCATTGAAAATGGCTTTCTATGTAATGATAAAAAAATGTGTAGCTGTACACACATTTACTCAAGACACCATAAGAAAATTCCAGGTGTGAATCCAGCCAACGCAACGTCCACTTTCTCCACAAAAACCCTCATCCTTCCCTCGCACTTTGTAACATATCTTTCCCTCGCTTACACATTACTTACATTTTTTAGGTCCAGAAAGCTTATTTTATCTAATTTTGATAATATATTTTCTATTTTCAATTTTTAACCCTCAGGTGCTCTTCGTTTCGGAGTCACACTTGTTTCCTTCCCGGTCAAAAGTGACCGGACACCTAAAAATTTAATTTCCTCCATCCCAGTAAAACCAATGCAATTTATTTTTGTTCTATAATATTTATTCTTTGTAATTTAGTATTTTGAGACAATTTGATTGAATTTATTAATATTTATGCAATATTTATGGTCTATTTTTTCCATGAAATATATATATATATATATATATATATATATATATATTTTTTTTTTCAAAAAATTATTAATGCAGTATTTTAGTTTAATATAGAGTCTAGGCCTTCCGAAAAAAAATATTTTTTGAAGAAAATTAGCTCCATCTGGTTATAGTATCGAGAAAAAGCGTAGAACCATGGTGTAACCACTAGATGGCATGTATAGCTCTCTATGGAGAAGCATGTGAATTCCCCAGATGTTTATGAACACATTTTTTTTTTTTTTTGGTGGATTTGAATATATAGTTGAAACAATATCAAAAAATATATTTTTTTATTAAAAAAATGTAAAAAATAAATAAATAAATAATTGTGAATTTTTGTCAATTTCCCATTCATTTCCTATGGGGGGTCATTTTTGACCAAAGACCACATGTGTGACTATTTTTTTAAGACCACTTAGCATGCTCAGATTATGACCTCAATTTTTTTGTGTGATCACATACAGTACATAATGCCATAAAATTCACCAAGTTTCGTAACATTCAGATGAAGCTGTGATTTTTAAAAATTCAAAACATACTTTTTGTAATCAAATTTTATTGGTATGCATGTGTATAAAAGTGTGTTTGTATGTGTGTGTGGGTTTGTCTGTTTTGTACTCTAGATATTGTAGAGTGTCAACCCTTTTCCTGCGGTGTACTTTTTTTTAGAATTGTGGCCAATTTGTAGATTGCACGTACAAAAATTCAGAGAATTTTTTTTTTTTTTGTCAATTTCCCATTCATTTCCTATGGGTCGGTCATTTTTGACCGAAGACCACAAGTGTGACTATTTTTTTTACGACCACTTAGCATGCTCAGATCACGACCTCAAATTTTTTTTGTATTCACATACATAATGCCATAAAAGTCACCAAGTTTCATAACATTCCAATGAAGCTGTGATTTTTAGAAATTCAAAACATTTTTTTTTTTTTTTTTTCATTTTTCGGTCAGAAATGACCGAAGAGCATCTGAGGGTTAATGCAATTTTATTTACCTTAAAATGACTAGATTTGTAGCCTGACTACGTCAGACCTAATACTTCCGCTAATTTCATTTCGCTCCTGCAAAGTGAAGTAGCAGAGTCTGGTATTACCAGGCTACTAGATTTGACCAATTAATAATAAATAGCCTAGTGATTTAAATACATTCCTCACATTCGTTCAACTTCAAAATAACTCACAATTCTGTGCATAATTCAGCTCAAACTATCTTACATTGGGTGACTTTGCCAATCTCTTGTGGAAAAAAAGAAAATATAACATATTATTTTTTAATGAATCTTGCCAATATAGATAGCCTTACAGCTCTATTTGGAGCAAATGCACTCTTCCTCTGGGCCCTAAAGTCATTTCTCTTCAGAATGCATTCAGATACACATGTAGATATTATAAAAAAAAAATTTAGACAAAGTTTTAGCATTTTTAGTTAGAATTTTGAGCATGTTTAGGTGTTTGTATGTGTACTGAAGCATTTCTTGCATTTCCATTCATTTCTATGGGGGTCAATTGACTCGTGAGGGAAGGATTTGTTACTATGAACACTCAATTTAAAAAAAGAAATTGTTTAGGGGGAAAATGACCCAAGGGAAGGGTAATAAACCACTTACTAATCTGTTTTAGCTGGTTTAGGCTGGTTTCGCTGGTCTCCCAGCCACTTTAAAGGTGTTTTTTATGGCAATAGAATAATTAATATAATCATATGACAAAATTGTTGCTGTCTCACCGCTAGTCTGCCATCACAGTCTTGTGACTGACATACTCCATGAATCCTGTTAGGGAGAAGGACATCATCCCAGCAGCACGGCCCCTACAGACAACACACACAACATCACAGAGATGACAGACACCAGTCACAGGGAGATGAGGATGACTATGGTAATTGGACGACAAGTAACGAGAAAAAATCTTCTGCTGAACACAAAAGAAGATATTTTGAAGAATATTGGTAACCAGGCAGTTGATGGACCCCATTGACTTCAATAGTATTTTAATAGGGTCCATCAACTGTCTGATTATCATATCATACGGTTGAAACAACATTAGGGTGAATAAATGATGACAGAATTTTTATTTTTAAGTGAACTATTCCTTTAAGGAAGTAGTTCACCAAAAAAGGGAAAATTCTGTCATTATTTACTTATTTTCATGTCATTCAAATCAGTTTTTTCTCTTGAAACAGAAACTTTTTGAAGAATCTGTATGTACTGTAGCTCTTCTAAAGTACGTTGAGAGTTGCTCCTAAAACAACCACAAAAAAAAAAAAACATACATAGTACTGCGTAAAAAATTCGAAATGATTGAAAAATATCAACGCAGGTTAAATAATTATAGATAATACATATAGACTATCCCTTAAAAAACCACCAGCATCGAACGGTTTCCTTTATACCTGCACCTCAGTCACACACTCTTCCTTGTCCTTCTGCCAGATTAAGACACTCTCTCCATCCATAATTGTTTTGGGACAACGTCTCTCCCCCCCCGCCCCGCCTGATTAGCATAAGCATTTAAACATTCTGACAGGGCCCTTAATAAGCAAGAGAAAAGGTTAAGAAAATCATTACTCGCCCACAGGGGGAGCGGGAGGGGGAGACGGGAAGGAGGGATGAAACGCGTGCCGTGGTGGAGGAGCCCGGAGATTACACGAAGACACCTGCTTAGAGACAGCAAGGAAAGGTCACACAGACCCCCGACGCGTCGGCTCAAAACAAACGCGCGCGCACACACACGCAAGCGTACGCCACTGAGAGTGTAAATGATTAATGAGAAAAACGCAGATGAATTATTCAACAACACTCCTCCCGCATTGTTCACACCAGTCTCACCTCCCCACCCTTTTCCTCCATGGAGGAGAATCAACATCGCAGTCCAACGAAGCCTTAATTACATTATTGTTTAACAAACAGGGCTGTGTGTGTGTGTGTGAGCCAGCTGTGAGGATTCTACTTCCTGTATCCAGCAGAGACACATCTGATACACACACAGACCCGAGTCAAAGCGCCTGATTGGTCGGCTGTTCGTTCACCACATTCAATTAAAAAACATTTGAAGTCGACGGAAACACAAACACGGCACACATCCAGAGAAGACAGAGCTGAATCACACACAGCAAATACTTGGAAACACAGTCCTAATCACAGTGACATTTAATCTCGGCTTATTTAAGAAACCATATTTGGTTTAACCATACACTGCACAATATAAAAATGAATACGACTGACTATGTTAAATCTAATCAATAAATTTGAGGCAACAGATTACAATCAATATTAGTAATTACATTAACAAATTGAGTAATAATTAACCAAACGAATGACTAAAAAGTTAACCATTTAAAATGAGTAAAATTTACACATTTTTCGAAACAAAAATATTGGAATAATAGATTGACGTCAAAGATGAATTAAGAACTGTTTTTTTTGTTTTGTTTTTTTGGCATCATTGAAGACGCCTGATGATAACAAGCAGAATCACTGAAGGAGAAACACGTAATTTTTAAGTCGCCATTATGGTGATCGGTGTGTGTTTTAGTTGGGCTCTTGACCCTTAAATGATTAAAGCCACAATATGTAATTTTTCTGCTTAAAAAATAGCAAAAATAACTGTATCTATGTTATATATTTCTATTAGATGTGTACTTACATTATCCCGACAGTTTCCACCAACTTTAATTCGAAGACACGGGACGTTTCTATATTTCCGTTTCGTCGCCCATCTATGGCGTCATATAACCTTTGACTCCTCTATTTTCTCTAACTTCCTTGCGGAACCCGGCGAAACCGCCAAACACAAAGGGGAACACTGGACTACCGCCAATAAAGCAAAGAAAATGAGGAAGAAAAAAAAGTAGTACGTATTTTTATGTGTGTAAATCACGTGCCCGCTCACGAGCGCTCACTCTTAACAGACACACTGTCCCCGGTGCTGCTCGCGCATAAAGCGCTCCCCGTTCACAGTAACTGGGTCGTCTCATTCAAAACAGCCAACTGTTGCTGTTAGCGAGCCGCGCACATTGAATACTCATTATGAGTCAGGCTGCGAATACGTGCCCGCTTTAGCGCGCTCATGCTTACTAAATAAACGCCTCACCTCCGGCGCCGCGCACTTACTACATTCCCTTTAGCCTTCAGCACATAGTGGATGAATAACGCAAACCCAGTCAAACGTTTGACTGCAGTATCTTATGTGCTTTATAATCCGGTGCGCTCTATATATGAAAAATGTTCTAAAATAGGTCATTCATTGAAGGAGCGTAATATAAATATTTATATTCGTCTGTATTGTTGTTATGGACCACGATTACGCTTTGCCTGCACGTTCTGCTGCTACAGCCAGCTCATTAGCTAAAGCTCAAACGTACGGGTGAAAAATATAACCCGAGAAGGGTTTGGGACAGGAGAAGCATGACACAGGTAAACATTGGCGTTGCATTTAAAGCTTCTTGACAAGCTAAATCTACAGAGAGATGCCGTATATCCGTATATTTTGTGAAACGATGATGTCATGTCATGAGCTGAGCTGGTTGTCATTGACAGCGACAGCAACTCCCGTGAGCCCACGCTCTTTCCCGACGTCATCAAAGTAAGTCTTTTGTTATTATTTTAAACGAGTGACCCCTGGTGGCCAAAAATCGCATACTGTACGTTTAAAGGGTCATTCCACCTCTGGAAAGATGAATGTGTATAAAATTGGTCATTTATGTAGAAGAAATGTGAAATTATTATTATTATTATTATTTGAATTTGGAGCTTTCCAGACTGAGAAAAGCCAGAAAGTGTATTTTTGGCTGATGTGAATGAAAGACAACAACTCCCAGAATGCACTTGCTTCGCTGCCCTAAGAGGCCACGCCTACCGGTAACAGATCGCAGTAGTTAAACAACAAGTCTAGGCTACTAGTGAGTCTGCCCGAAAATGTGTTTCGTGATCGCCCAAAATGTCCAGGATTCGGCTTTTGCGTTCTACATTCGCCATTCATTATGTTTACTGTGGTGAGTGGGACAAGTGAGGGCCGCGGGAGAACGGCGCGAGGCTGGTGGCGTGATTACCGATGAGCGACACCACCGGTCTCATATCTCTCATGGAGGAGCGGGGAGTTTCTAAGCAATGTTAAAACGCACATCAACCGATTACTTTTTTTAGTGTTCATGTAAACACTACATTCAGATTCACCAATCAGAATGAATTCAGTTAGATTGAAACAAAAGCTGTGCATGTAAACAATAAATGGCGACTGCAGAAAGCAAAAGCTGATCCCGGACATCGAGGGCCGGACATGTCAGTGAAAAAGAGGATGGTAACTCCTACTACTCAGTTTTCGCCACAAAACAAGAGCCTGCTAGCTTAGCTTCCAAAAAAGATGGCTGACACTATGTGTAATCCCAATCCTCCATTATGTATCCGTCTGCGTATTCAGTACCTACGTCCATATTTTCAAAAACTGAAATCAAACTCACTGGCACTGATCTGTGATAGGTCTGTTAGCGCATTAGGTCCAACCCCCTACTAGTGCTTGTAGTCTTTACAGAAATCCCCCCCTCTTACACTTCCTCCTACAATGACGTAAAATTACATAAATTGACGATTTTGCGTCATTGTGGGAGGAAGTGAAAAGGGTAAATAGCAGATTTCTCTCGCCTCAGGGAAAAAATGAGAGAGTGTTACATGACCATTCAATAACTGGGTTTCTAACAATGGAAAGCTTAATGCAAATGTGTGGAGTGCCCCTTTAACTTTGAATGTTGTTTGGCTGTTATTCGTGAATTTTAACAACCAGATGAACAAAGAGAAAAGGTGATCTGATGGAGTTGGTTATGTTTTAACATCATCAATTCACAATTATTGGACCTGAATCACTGAACTCATATAGTGTCCAGTTTAGGTTTACTTAAGTACTGTTAGTGATTTAGTCTTTAGAAGAATCTGTGAATCTCAACAATGGTGACAATAATAACACATGTTGCAGTGCATTCTGGGTGCCACCAAATCAAAACTCATTCATGGCTTCCATCATGCATTGCTGCATTAATAAATAATGAGCTTATGATCACAGATTCTGCTTAAGATCTGTTGCTGAGATTCATACACTAATTCTTGATGTCTGTGTGTGCCTATACATAAAATAATTTCTGAAGTTATCTTTTTATTGTTTTGATCATTTGGTTTCACTGAAAATGCTAAAAATATGAGGCTGTACAAGGCCAGTGCTGCTATAATTAATAAAGTAAACCTTGCTCAGAAACTGGGCTCTATACGAGTTCAGTGATTAAGATCAAATGATTGTGAAATAATAATTATGTTAATGTTCATCTGGCTGTTTTAACTCACGTACAGCAGCCAAACAACCTCTGAAGTTTGATTTAAGGGTCAAGAGCCCAACTAAACACACACACACACTGATCTCCATAATGGTGACTTAAAAATTACGGTTTTCTCCTTCAGTGATTCTGCTTATTATCATCAGGCGTCTTCAATGTTGGCAATAAAAAAGTACATTCTACTCATTTTAAGTGGTTAACTTTTAAGTAATTAATTTGGTTAATTATTACTCAATTCTAATTTGTTAAATTTAATTCATAATATTGATTGTAATCTTTTGCCTCAAGTTTATTGATTAGATTTAACATATTCAGTCATATTTTTTTTACAGTGATTAGGCACAAACACAGCACTTTGATGTCACATGAGTTTTTAAAGCACTAAAATCTATCAATCCACCAATTCATACATTTCCAGGATAATGTGCATCCTGATAAAGTTCCCTTGGCCTTTGGAATTAAAATAGACCCACATCATCACACACCCTTTA